TAATACAAGAACATTCAACCCGATATCTTAAATCAAGTTTACGAAATATTTTAATATACCTATGAACAAATATTTGCAAGAAAGATGAAATGAGCAAAGCATGTTGGTAAAATTAATGAAGCTTTAAATTACAAATGAAGAAGAAACAAACAGACTATTTGGAAGTATTCCATGCTTTCTGTTATTTCGTAACACAGAAAAAGATGCACAAATATACACATTCTAACGCATACACACATAGTTCAAATATTTGATAAATAACAAGTAAAAAGTATTCTTGCGGTATAAAGGAGTAGAGATTTAAATTTCTCAACCCTAACTGAGAGGAAATATATTTGATACAGATCATCATAATCTGCCCTTCACTCATCCTCTTATTTTCATCGTATTTCAAACTTTTGCACGTGTAGTTTGCTTATATCAAATATATACAAATATACATAAGTGATAATAAATAATTCTACATTAATGTTATCTTTGAAGAAAAAGATATCAAGCAAAGCTAAATGATAAAATGTAAATCCACGAGATCTATGCTTTATCTGCTACACACTGATATGAACCGCATAAAAACTGAGTAAATATTTTAAATATTCAAGAATTCTACATCACAGTGTGTAAATGACAAAATAAATAGCTAACGAAAAAATAAAATTCAGAAACTTGAATGCGAAATAATCATCCAACTGACAACAAAATAGAATAAGAAAATAGGATAAAGTGCCAGCATTTTTCGTCTCGGTGGTTGTGAACCGGATATGAACAACATAGATGCTGAAAAAAAGATCTTTTCAGAATTGCAAATTTTCTTCCAATTATTTTATCCATCCCTGTTTTTCTAATTTGAAAGAAAAACAGAAATTTTTATTTGGACCTTACTAGTTTTTTGTTTTTTTAGAAACAATATGTGATTCCTCTGTTGAATGTCTTAGCTATGGTCAAAAAATTAGTAGCAGTAAAATTACCATATATTGCCCATATGAAGCCAGCCGTGGTGACTAGAAGACGCAAAGCGAAGAGAAATGCTGTCTGCTCGGAGTTTATTTCAATAAATTTGCATACTACAGCTGCCAAACCAGGAGGCAGCAAACAATAACCAAGCACACATAACGATTGAAAAAATGATCTGGAAGGATCCACAACTTAGTCTCTGATCAGCATATCTATTTTGACATAACTCAACTGCAAAAAAGAAGAGTCATAAAACACTTTGTGCGTTTAAAAGAAATTAACCATGCCTAGCCATTTCGGTAATGGCGCTCAGTCCTCGGCCACTAGAACCTCATGAATAGTTTAAATTACTGGCATAATTGGCATATACAGATGAGAATTAATATTCTCGTAAAGTGTCTAGTTTTTATATATGAAAACACTAATGGAAACAAGAGTTAATAATTAGAATTCCACTACTATGAACTATTTTAGGAAAAGTCATCTAATAATAAGAAATTTTTGTCTTGTTACAGTTGAAAATAATAAAAAGCAATTACATGTTACCACCAATCAGTTTTGTATTCAGAGTGACAACGCACGAACCAAAGAATGTCAACATAAAAACTTCGGTGAAATGAGGACCTTTGCCACTTTTGCCTCCTTGTAACATTCTTAAATACAATAAATCAGGCGTGCTTAATGCAAAATTAGATTGGATAAGTGTAAACACAATTCTTTAATCCCCTCTTTTCTTATTTAGCAAGGGAGTGAAGAAATGATGAGAACTAATGTAGATGGCAGTAGTGTGACGGAAAATGAGATCTGATATGAAATGATGATAAATTTAGTGAAGCAAACCTCTCGGAGATGACACAATCGTGCATCAAAACAAGAGTCATGATGCCAACTAAATCCATTATTTGAAACAATGTAAGCCAGCGCAAGTCAGTATAGCAGCGAAATAACTTACAACGAGATGAACACACATAGAAAGAGTGGTCCCCAAAGGTCCCAATCGCGCAGTAACTGTTGACTACTTTTCGGCACCATAACTTGCCCAAATTTTGCAAAAACAGTATGCAAATCCCGTCTCTAAAAAATGATATTTATTAATGCAACCAATAACAATTTAACGAAAATAATCATTATATCAAAACATCACGAACTTTTGACCAAGATACAAAGGCTTTTTAATTCGCACAACGAAAAGGAAAAAGGTCAGAAAAAAATATGAAGTATGAGAATTGCTCCTCAAATGGAAATTTTGGAATTTATCAACAGTTCACTATTAACAACAAAAAATAATATACAGGAACTAACAACAGTATCCCACACCGGTTCATCCAAAGTATCAAAATCATTATTTAAACCAGGTTCAATACCGGAACGTCGTGTTTTTGAGGAAGTTACTCCAACGATTTCTCCACTCAAATCATTATATTGATGGTTACGTCTTTCCTGTTCCTTCGCTGAGATTTCTTTTTCCAGCTAAACGACTTACTACTCATATCACCTAATGTTTATTGCTGCAATCACTTATACTCTAATTAAAATACAGATTAGAATGGATGTTTTGACAGCATCTTCAGGTAGAGTATATAATTACATTCAATATGCAGTTTTGTTTCTAGCTATGACTGATTACATATTGAAAATGCAGATGATCTAGCTAAATTTGTCTCGTAAAACTAATAAGTTTAAGTAATAAACTGACCAATTCAATATCAATTGCAGCATTTCCGAAACTGTGAGCCATTTGCAAATTCGGTGGAAATTCTGCACCAAGTTCTTGAAAAGGATATAATCATGAAGTCATACTCTAACTGAAGTAATTCAAACTCTGTTACGATATATCTTATCCGGGAATCGTATTTTATCACGTATAAGAAAATATGATTTCTAGACAAAGCCTAACATATTGAGACAAGTTATTAAATGAACTCACCAACTGAAGGATGAGAATACACGCTCTGGCTAACAGCCAAATTGACCAAAATATTTTCAGTAGCTGGTACTGTTGTAGTTCCACGATTAACGATTGATATTGGTGACAAGTGTGAAGATGACACTGTGTCAGACATACGACATTTGTTTTCTCGAGATTTCACCTGCCTTCTAAAGTTGTAGTAAACGTTTGATAAAGAAAAAAGAAAATCCCCACAGAATTTGTTCCACTTGAAACTTGAGAGTGACTAAATGTCAGCTAAACATATTAGTCAAACCAATAAAACGCCATACCCATGTAATGAGTAAGATTAATGTTTAAAAACTACCTGTCTTACCACATGTCGATTTCACTTGTGACTTATCTGCTTCACAGTTCAACTGCATTACTCTAATGAATTTGTAAATATCACAACTCCAAATACCTCTCCAAAATATATGAATTTCAAGAAAATTTTAAGCACTAGAAATCATTGGATTTCACTAATTTGCTAGTCTACGAAGAGAAGAAAAATGAACGGCTTATGTAAAAAAAAAATAACAATGATCAAAAACACATCTTTTTGTATTTTCTAATATAAAACATGAAATTATCTATTATGGCAAAAGGTATTTCTTTGATAAAACAATTTTAAGGCACTAGAAACATATAATATGCACTGAGATATTTATTCAATCCAACAAAAACAAACAAAATAAGCTGTACAATGCCGATCGTATCCAAATATTTGTAAAAACGGTAATCTCGAAATACCCTATTTCAGTTTTCACTCTGGAATTACAATAAAAAAAAAGGAAAAATCGAAATGGATTCATAACTGCACTGACGCTGCCCTTTACAAATTTATGCACTATCTAACACAATAAAAACAAATTTTTACTGGTATTTGAAATATGCAAGAGTGAGAATATTCTGGATAATTCTCCATACCTTTCCATCTTATGGCTGTAACAGCGGAGTTTGGACTTTCACAAATGCAGCAGAAGGTGAAAAATAAGTTGTAGAAGAGGAACCAACATGATCAGGCTTCACTGTTGGGTTTACAATTTCTAATCCCAACACAGGTGTAAAAGTTACACTTGAAGCAGTGCCTGCTGCTCGTGAACGGATTGACGTTACACCACCCATTGATCGTTGTCGTTCCATTGTTTTTTGAAGCTTTTGTGACATTCTAAACGAGCATTCATATCTGAGAAATATGAGTGGGAAGTCGACAAAATAAAATACCAAAAATTTTTAGTTGCTTCCCCAGTAAAACGAAAATTTTGAATTAGGTGTGCAATTTACTTTTTCATCAAATGTTTTTGCCTCGCTTACGGAAAGAAGAAAAAAGTGAAAACCCATAGCAGCAAGAATTCACACAAGTCGATGAAACAAGAATATAGCATCATCCTACCTGGCTCTTGTTTTCGGATCGACTGTGGCACTCCTAATGCGGCTTCCGGAAGATGGACCACTTAGCGCTTGCCCAAGCGAAAATCCCATATTTTCTTGGATAACGTCTTCAGTTAATTCGCCAAAATTCATACGATTCGATTTTTTCCTTAATTCAGTCATGCCTAGTCGTTCCTTCATTTTTCTTACTCGACGACCTCCTCGTTTCTTACTAGCCTTCAAGGAAAATTTGCATGGAACTAAATCAAGTGATTTCAGAGCAACCAAAAAGTTGAAGAGATTTATTCCGTTAGAAGTGTCGCTTTAGTGCAATAGCTCCCAACCGGTAGTCTGCGAAAACAAAAATATGTCAACAAAAAGAAGGTCAAATTAAAGAACCGATTATTCCTGAACCTGTGATTTCTGCTACAAACAAACAACAAAATAGTACATGAAAAAGTAGGGAAAACTACTACTTCATGCTTTTCATGTTAATGGTAGCATATTTCCATGTAATGATCAACGAGCATGTATTTTCCAAAACAGGCTAATGATGCGCCCTCTTGCATCGTTTCGTCAGCACAATCTCTTATGGCTTATTTCAATTTTCCAAGAATACTCGTAGTCACATTTCAACATTGGCAATGGGATGTTAAGTATACAAGAAAACTACAAGGAAACTTTACTACAAGAAAATTGAAGTAGAAAATCAAAGTAGTTAATTAAAGTAATTAAAGCAAATTCAAGTGGTTTAAAATTAAGGTAAAACTAAAATAAAGTGAATTAAATGAATTTCGGAGTTGGATAAAAATTTGAAGATTTCATTAAAATGCATGAAAAAGCATGGCAGACAATATTAACCTTGTCCAAAGGTTTTGGCAGAGGTTTTGCAGCCTTTACTGGTGGAGGCTCCAACATTTTCTCTATTTTCTGTTTTACTTGTTCAAATAAACTTTTCCCAATCGAACCATCTGATGCCTCATGAATAAAATCAACACGTGCAGCGAGTGTTGTTTTCGCTGCCAGTAATCGAGCAGCTTTCTGTCTAAAAATACATGACAGTATAAAAATGCATCGCAGATGGGTATTTAGATGAACATTCTCATGAATAAATTTGACGACCTTTTACGTAATTTTTACACCTATGCTAATAACCGAAGAAATTACACATAATTTTTACACCTATGCTAATAACCGAAGAAATTACACAAAATCCGTGACCGGAAACGATGATACCTCAAGTCTGGTGGAACTCCTTGCACAATAGGATGAAAGAAAAGGAAACCAGCATGAGGTAATACAGCTGTTGAACTAAAACCAGTCAGTGTTTTTTTCTGTGCGCCAAGAATCAATACATTGCAGGCGGGAAGGCGAGCCAGTGGAGCAAGACCTAAAAAAATACTTTTAGCAGAAGAGAAAAACAAGGAAACAGGGCAGATTGACTTCTGCTACTTTTTAATGACAAAAGTTATTTCTGTATGTCTGCCTTAATTCTTTCTCTTCCATTAGCTGAAACTCGTATACTATGAAACAGTAAAACTGCAATACGAAAATTAACATCCCCAACTTTTTTCATTATGCTAGAATTGACACTTATTAACTGAAAGCGTTCATTCGAAATAAAAGATAATTTGTAATAGACACTACCTCCAGCTTTAGCGACAATCATTGCTGCTGTACCAGCTCCCAAGATTTCGCATAGATTTGGTGCAATAAGCGCCATTCTTGACTCAACTAGTTGATACATATTAAGTCGATCGGTGTGCAACTGTTCAGCCATATCGCAAGCTTCTTGTACTGCTACCAATTCATCTGGTTCCAACGCTTTCCCTTGTGTAGTTGATGCTGTCACACTAACCACAATGCATGTAGCGGGTGCCAGGATTTCACTGAAATTAATAATTTATTAAGTCAGTCCAAAAATCCTTAGCACCAGGAATATGATAAGGCCAAAAAACGAAACTCAGAAATCAAATTACTTTCCTATTACTTATAAAAAGGGATCCTCATCAGAAAAACAACGAACCTCAAAATCTGCTTATTTTGTCCTTTAGTCGAAATATCATTCCCTAGAAGTTTTACAGTTGCCAAATATTCTAAAGCATTCGGCACCAGAGACTCTAACTCAGGAAAACGTTTTTCATATTTGTCACGCACAAATTTATGAATAACATTCAATTCCTGATCCACTTCAGCTGCAAGCTACAAAAATGGTTTAGTTAGAACCGAAGCCCCCTTTCGTTCACTAGCATTTATGAACAAAAAAGATGCAAATGTAGAAAGCAGCAGCTGGAAATATAAGTATATAATCATTACATATAAGTATCTTAGAGGATATACGTTATTTCAGATAACATTAAGCTACTCCTAATGAAGACAAAGAAGGAATTTTCTTCTTTTACAAATGATAGTATGAAGCCAGGTTGAGAATACTCTGCAACTTATTCATATAATAAATGTTAAGCGAAGAATATGCACAAATAAAATTTAAATATAACCAAAAGATGAAAGAGATCGATTACCTACCCCAGAAAGTTCCACAATCAATTTATACTGAGGATCCGATTCCAATGGCTTTGTAACTGGTGGGATTTCTTTCAAATTCAATTGCTTCTGCATCTTGTCGATAAGATCCTTGTAACTACAAATAGTTACAAAATAACAAGGATGCACAGAATCAGAAAAATAGCTTCCTACAAAGCTGACGTTTATGCTTAAGGAAGATGGAACAAGTTTTATAAATTGTAGGTGAAGCAAAATTAGAAACATCGCAGTCCCTATTCATTTAGAATTGAATGTTTGAAAATGGAGTTTTAAGCAATTTTACTAACATACTTTTGATTCGCCAATAATTTTGCCACGGATCCAACCCGGTCATAAGCACTCATAGATGGTAACTGTTCATCCACTTCTTCCAAACCTTCTCCTCCATCCTGTTCCGTTTCTTCCACCAATTCTTCATCTTCTAAATCTGCCAATAGCTCATCCGCAAGTGACATTCTTGAGAACAATTAGTCGTAGTAATGTCAACCAAGGCCAGACGAGGATTACCTGTAAAATTTCATAGAATTGGATTAAGTTCTAATCGGAATCTAATTTTTACCTTCAATATCTACTGTTTCTCAGTGCAGGAGAAACAAGAGAATGGACTAATTGAACGCTCGATTTTATCCCATATTTTCATACAGCCAAATATGTGCCTTACAAGGATGAAAAGCTATTTTTTCCCATATTGCAGCCAAAATTATAACATATGATGTATTCGTACAAATGAAGTTTAAATTTAACTGTTTGCTTTGCAATCCCCTCCTTTTACGCACGTTTGAATGTAAGGACTGACTTTTTACAATGTGCATATATGTCTTGGTGTTATAATTACTATTAATTCTCTAAAGACTATGTAAGCAACATCCTAAAACGTCCCTAAATAACTCCGCTCGTAACGTTAAGCGTAAAAGACTATCTGGTAAAGTCAAAAAAACAAATTCCCGTCGAACTCCACTGTTCTGTCATATTTCTTCCAAACCTACTGGTTGAGATATAGTTTGCTAAAATTTATTAAGTATCGGTGCAGCTTATTGTGGTACATAAATCGGTCGTGATGAAAATTTTTTGTCTTAGCCAAGTTTTCTAGTCAATTTTATGGGAATCGTACGGATCCCTCATTCTATTCACTCTGCTATTTTAAAATGTATCAGTATTATATAAAGTAAGCAAACAGTTCCTTTTTCACAGGGCTATTTTCTTCTACTTGATTTTTAACTGAAACCATAGTGTTAAAATGTGACATATGACAAAATGGATGGATAGAATTACCATAACCTTGCATTCATTACTGATTTAGATGTTTTAATAATCTCCATTACTGTACTTATGAGAGAGAAAACAGTTAGTATCTTATATAATTTTTGTGCATATACATTTAAGCGTGCGAAATCACTTTTTTTGAAAAAAAAAATCTTTTAGCTTTGGAAGTCTTGAAATGATCGAAAAATATGGGCGAAAATTTACAAGAGTAATAGATACTTGTAATAATTCTTGCGTTATCTCTTCCAACCTACAAAGGTTATCCTATAAAGAACATTCGTAATTTAAAAGTTGTAGTAGCTGAACTAATTTTGTCATTTTCATATATTTTGGTTACTATTTAAGTTTTCTGATTGGAAGGAAGTATATTGCAGTTCTATACAAATTTTCTTCCTTCATTGTCATCATTATCATCGTTACAAAGTACTGGAAAAAAACATATCAGAGTCTATTTGCATAAACAATTTGGTAATGATGGAAAACAGGTATACTGGAAAAACAAACAAGTGGATAAATCAATAAAATTATATCATCATCATTCAGTATGCTACAAAAACTAACATTTCCATTGTCTTATCATCCTCAATACTATTGTTGTTCCAGTAATAACAAGTGTTCATATCAGGATTGATTTTTCCTTGTTTTTTTCTGCTTCATATCCTTACTGATTAATTTGAAGGAGGCATTCACCCAACCGAAAATAATTTTGAGATTACAGTATAATTTTTGAAGCCTAATTTGAAATATTTCTTACCTCCCAACAAACCTGTCAACTCGAAGCGATATTCTCTTCCCATTAAGTTGGCTACCTCTTTGGCACTACATTTAACTAACCGTCAAGATCTTCATCTTTACAAAATACGTTAATCTGCAATTTTCAAGCAAAAAAGAGGAAAGAAGAGAATGCAAGAAGACTTCTGAATGAGTCGTATAGAAACTGGTACTGTCTAGAAAAAAAAAAAGAAACGGAAGTATTTTCAATACGAGACTCATTTAGTTGCAACTGAGTTGATAAATTCATAAATTTGCAGCATTCGCATATTTTACATTAAAAAAAAAAAAGTGTTGTGTAATTAAAATGAATGTTAAACCATACAAAACATAACGAATAAGTAAAGGAGAATAACCATAACAAATGAATTATAATCAGAAATTTGAAATTTGAGAATGAGTTTTAAAACAACAACTAAGCATAGAAAATATATTGCGCTCTTGTAACATTTTCCCTATAAATAAATGAAACGATAAATAAATTTCTCAAGATGATTATAAAAATTCTAATACATCAAAGATCAAAAAGTGAAGCAACTAAAATGGTATCTTTGCTGGTAATGAAAACATTTGTCGATGTTGAACTTTCCAATACTAAAGCGACCCTGTTAAAATTTAAGTCAAAATTTTAGGTCACGATTTCAAGTGCAGCATTAAAACCAAGGAATTCACCCATCCACGATGAGTTCAATCTGTATCTGACTCATTTATGATAATTCTTCTATTAAAATAGTTTCACAAGAACGAATGTTTCATACAAATTGATTATGAATTGAGAAAATTTAGGCAATATTGACAAGCAATCATTTAATCTTATCTCATTAAAAGTATTTCGGACATGATCAACTAATCAACTGATTCAGATTATCCATAATTTTCTTCAAACGTGACGAAGATTTGAAGTTTTTTCTACCTGTTTAATTGATAATACCTCAAACTTGGATAATTGATCGCAACAATTTTGTTAATATAACAATGAGCTCGGCAATTACAATTTCGCTATAACAAATTTATAATGATGCCAATATGAAAAGGAGACCCACTGATGATCGATACATTGGATAGACAATCTAATTGAAATACATCTTTAAAACGAACGCATAATTTTAGCTTATATTTTACATCGCACAGTAAATTCACATATGCAACAAATTATGTACAGCGATATCAAATTTACAACAAAGAAATTAACTGATTCATTGCTTTTCTTGTCATTTCAATGAATTTCAGGAAATTTTTAAAAAAAATGGATGCAGTTAAATATAGAAACCAATTGATTGATATCCAGGACTATATGAGATCGCAAATCTTTGTAAACTTATTCAAACTGAAGAAACAATCGACAATATATCGAATCGACAATATACTGGTAAAAGGAAAAGGCATAAAATTAATCCTAATAATCTTTTGTGACCAAAAATTACGAAAACACTGCGACATATACTCGTTGACTTTTATGTAGTAAACGATTGTCAGATGTTTTTGTCTTCTACCGTTCATGTCGTTCCCGGCAGTTAGGGTTGTCACGACGAGAAGTAAACGCAAATTTTATGAAAGATAAATTGTATGCACAATAAAGTTTAAATGAATATTCAAAAGGATCAACTTTTCATAACATCATATCCTTCTTTTTTTGTGTCAAGAAGAGAATTACATTGAATATCCAAATCTGAAATTGAGTATTCAGAAATGAAAAACAAAAAAGTCTCCAGATGTTGATGTAAGAGTAAGAAAATTACATTGTTCGTTCAAATTTGAAAAAAAAAAAGGAAGAAAAAGCAATTTGAATCGTTTCAAACATACAATGCAAACAATATCTTTTCTTTCTAATATGTTAACCATTTTCTCCCTTCTATACCACATCTTTCAATTACATTACAGTAACCATTCCATTTCATTTGTAGATTGGGCGCATTTATCCTTCCATTTTACCGATAAACTGAATGTATGATCGTATTGTGGCAGTCCTTAAAAACTCGAAGAATACCACCGTGTTTAGTAAGGATGTAAGGATGTGACAATAATTGCCATTCGTACATTCTTTTAGTTTTACTGCTTGAAGTTTTATTGCTATAAATATGGTTTCAATGGATTCCCTCACTATTTCCGCTGAATCATTTTTCACTCATTGGTGATAGTTTTTGGAAATCAAACGAAAAGAGTTAAATTGTTGGATTATTCAAACATTTTTTTCCAGTGTTTCTGTAATATTCTATTTAATTAGATATACTTCAATTCAAGAATTGACTTTCCTTACATTCATCCATTTCTATTCTTTCTAAATTCCAAATTAATTGGAACTTGTAAAATGAAAAATTTTGTATTAAAAGTATTTTGTGCTAGAGTTACAAGATTTTCTTTATTTCCAACTCAAACATGGATAATTAAATTATTAGATAAAGGAAACATTATTAATATAGCATAACCATTAAGAATTACAAACATAAATTAACGCATAAATAAAAGAGGGGAAAAATGTTATCCTGTTATGTGCAGGATCTATATATACATCCTTCAAAGATTTGTTTTACTATTACAAGGATTAGTGCCTTTGTTGGATTATGATCCAGGTTGGTACATACAAATTAGTATATCATTACACATTCATTTATGATTGTTTATTTTTTTTTTATCACCGAATTTTGCATTTATTTGTGACAACTCACATTGAATGAGTTCTTTTTTATTCCAACATTCCTATAACTTCCCATTCATGTTTGATATTTTCATTTTTTAGCTAAATTGTTGTACCTTTTTTGACATAAATTGTGCAATATTCTGAACTATTCAGAAGTATTTCTAAAGTATTCTTGCTCTGAACTATTCAGAAGTATTTCTAAAGTATTCTTGCTCTGAACTATTCAGAAGTATTTCTAAAGTATTCTTGCTCTGAACTATTCAGAAGTATTTCTAAAGTATTCTTGCTCTGAACTATTCAGAAGTATTTCTAAAGTATTCTTGCTCTGAACTATTCAGAAGTATTTCTAAAGTATTCTTGCTCTGAACTATTCAGAAGTATTTCTAAAGTATTCTTGCTACTGAACTATTCAGAAGTATTTCTAAAGTATTCTTGCTCTG